TTGAGTAATCCTCAACTTACAACCAGTTGAGTAGTCCTCGACCTACAGCCGGTTGGGGGTTGCGGCATTAAAAAAGTTGAGAACCACTGATATAGGCACAGTAGAAGCAAAGCTAGTTTTCAGGTTTTGCCATTAAAAAGAGCACAGCAATAATCCCCCCTTTCCTCCCCGGGTCACCATTGTCCGTTGTCCACCAATCCAGTTCAGTCATTGTGTTGGGAAACACCTTAAGGTGCTGGAAACTTTCTCAGGCCACAACCCGTGCACATACATTCCTCATTCCCCTCCCAGCCACCCATCAATTCCAATCATCCCCTTCCGCCCTCCCTAGTTTTTGTTGTCTGGTGGTGAGTAAGGTTTGCAAAACGGGTCAGCCATGATGCACGAGGCCACGGGAGCCGAGCAAGAGAGACTAGTCTCTGACCTGATGGAGACAGTGCCGGTGGCCGAGGACCATTTTGCAGAATGGAGGGAGCGACTACAAGCGTGAGGTCCATCCTGTGGGATGTCACAGACAGGAACAGGGCTGAGTGGGAAGACCACTCGGGGAACCTGCTGGAGGGGGGGCAGATCTGATCCAAGTCAGGTCCTTTTTTAATCCCCCTCCATTTCTTGCTTGACTTCTGGGTGAGGAGAGCTCTTAGCAACCTGAGCAACGCAGCCTCTCCTTTGGCTGATTCTGTTTTGCTTTTCACGCAGAAATCTCAGGTTATGTGCTGTGCGGCTGGTCTGCATATGACTGTACGCATCCAAGGTAAAGTCTTGGGTCCTGGGGTTCAGGTGGGGTGGAAGCTACTGTTCTGGGTGGGGGGGAACAAGCTATGACGGTCGTACACTGCTGACCAGTCCCCTTCTTCTCTCTTCTCTCCTTTCGGTTGTAGGGTCTGAACAGAGGATCGTCCTTGTGGGCATAAGCGGAAATGGGAAAAGTGCAACGGGAAACACAATTCTGGGAAGCAACGTCTTTAAAAGTTCCATGTCAAGTGAATCACTAACAAGAGTATGTCAAAAGGAGGACACACAGCTAAACGGCAGGAAGGTTGTGGTTGTTGATACGCCTGGCTTTTTTCATACCTGTTGTTCAGTCAACGACGTTGTTGCAGAAGTGAGGAAGTCCGTGAAGTTTTGCTCCCTGGGTCCCCATGTCATTCTGCATGTGGTGCGTTCTGGTCGTTTCATCTGGGACGAGGAGGAGGTGGCTCAGCTGATCCACATGATTTTTGGCCTTAAAGCCAAAAATTACATCATTCTTTTGTTCACCCACAAAGAGGATCTGGAAGGTACATCTATCGAAAATTTCATAGCTGTATGTGGTAAAAAACTGCAGCAATATGCTGCTGAATGTGGGAACCGGTTCCTGGCTTTCAACAACAGGGCCGAAGGGGCAGAACGAGAGGCTCAGGTGGCCAAACTGATGACCATGATTGATCGTCTGGTGGAAACGAACAGAGATGCTCCTTATTACACGGAAAAGATGATGAGCTTCAACAAAAGACGCAAGAGGCCAGAAAGTCTCTTTAATTGAGCCTTGGCTCCCAAGGTAGCAACTCTGCCAAACGCCACAGACCTTCCGTTCTGGGTTCTAATCCAGCCCTTGCCATGTGACCTCTGAAGAACCCAAGCCAGAGATTCGTGGCTGAGTTCCACTCAGCCGATTCCTTCTCTTGAGAATCCGCTTCCTCCCCCTTGGATGACAGGACTTTTTTCAAGGGTACGGGAAGATCCTGCCCACCCGTCCCAGGATCAGTAGGTCCCACAGCCAAATGCTCTCCCATCCTGGACCCGTGTCCCTTAGGGAGGACCAGGTCTTTGGGGCTTCCCACCTGTCTGTCCTTCGAGATAGACCAGGTCGGGAAGCCAACAACACAAGAAATGTTAGAGCTCAACTTTACGGGGAGAGATTATAGCAGGAGAATCTGGAGAGCATCTCCCCTTCGCTCCTTCTGGCACCAAAGAGCATCAAACCAGGGCAGCCTTGAGCTTCTTTCTCACCCCTTCCCGTTATCCTGGAGCGGATTCGTTTTTTCCTGACAGCTGCCACATATTTTCTGAAAGGGTGAGTCTGTACTCCTGTACATCAGGGGTCTCCAAATCATGGGCTGTGGACTGATGCCGGTCTATGGCCCACCAGGAACTGGGCTGCACAAATGGCCAAAGCCCCATTCCTGCATGGGTGGGATCCAGGCAGCATGTGAAACCAGGGCCCCCTGCTCCATGGAAAAACCGCCTTCCACGGAACTGGTCCCTGGTGTCCAAAAGGTTGGGGAGTGCTGCTCTACACCACCTTCCAGAGACAACACCTGGACTCAGTAGGGCAGTCATGACTGTTTCAATCAGAGACCTTCTTATTAAATCTCTTTCCTTACAAAAGTTTGTTTGTGTGTGTGTGTGTGTGTGTGTGTGTCAGGGGGACTAATGAACCTCAGCCTAACCAGCTCTGTCTGCAATGTGATCCAAAGGCAGAGGAGAACGGGGATGTTGTCCAATCGTCCTGGAGAGAGGGGGACATGGAATTCGTGTCAGATTATACTCGAGGGATGGAGCAGAACGCAGGGTATCCCCCGTAGCTTTTCACACTGGCTCCAGGAAGGGGGTCTGAGGAAATCAGGCTCCTGCTGGGTCCTTCCCATCTCTTAGTGTCCGTCAGCTCCACTCCAGATGCTTCTCTTCGCCGACTTGCTTCTGGTCTCCTGGTCAAGCAAGAGGAAGAAGGACACATGCCCAGCAGCCAAATTTGCAGCAGGACGTTCGGATTTGTCAACCTCTTCTCCAAAGCCCCTGAAGGACGGACAAGAAGCAACGGATGGAAACTAACCAAAGAGAGAAGCAACCTGGAACTAAGGAGAAACTTCCTGACAGTGAGAACAATTAATCAGTGGAACGACCTGCCTCCAGAAGCTGTTAGATGGATAGATGGATGGAAGAATATATGGTGGAAGGGAGGGAGGAAGGAAGAAAGATGTGGGGAGGGAGGGATGGAAGAAAGGAAGGAGACGGGAGGAAGTATGGGGGATGGATAGATGTAAGAAGGGAATGAGATATATGATGGGAGGAAGGAAGAAGGAGGGAGGGACGGAGGGAGATAAATGGGGGAGAGGAGGGAAGAAGGGAGATATATGGGGAAGGAAGAGGGATGGGGAGGGAGGGCTGGGGCATGCTGGGAGTTGAAGTCTATCCATTTTCAAGTTCCCAAGGATGAGAAACAGCCAGAGGGAGGGAGGGAGGGAGAGAGATCAGAGCTTCTCAACATACTGGCTGGGGCATGCTGGGAGTTGAAGTCCACCCATTTTCAAGTTCCCAAGGATGAGAAACAGCTAGCCTTTAGTATATGTAAATAAATAGCAGATAGATGGAAGATGGATCGTAAGGTGGGTTTTCTCAGAGAAGATGAAAATCTTATTAAGCAAGTAAAGGACCAAAGACAAAGTCATATTAAGAGAATTTATGGGGTTCTAGTGGAATTGGATTCAGAAACAGAATTAATTAAAGATTGTATGATTAAATGGGCGCAGAATTTTGGTGAACCAGTTCTACTGGATACCTGGGAAACTATTTGGGTGAGAAATGTTAAATTTACACAAGCACAGAATCTAAGGGAGAATTTTTATAAAATGTTTTATAGATGGCACCTTGATCCACAAAAAATGTCTCTTATGTACCCTGACCTACAGCCTAAATGTTGGAGATGTGGTTGTTTGGATGCCACCTACTATCATATTTGGTGGTCGTGCAGAAATATAAAAGCTTTTTGGATTAAGATATGGTGGAATATTCAGAGAATTTTCAGAAAGAGGGTAAAATTTACTCCACAATTATTTTTGTTAGGTATAGTTACCGATTGTGATGCAAAGGAGGTTATATTGATGTTGAACTTGATTACAGCCGCAAGGCTGTTAGTAGGACAATATTGGAAGAAGGAATCTTTGCCTACTTTGCAGGAATGGTTTCTTAAAGTATCTTATCTGGCGGAAATGGCAAAGATTTCGACTTTCCTAAAAGAACAATCGCAAGAGAAATTTCTTGCTGTTTGGGATAAATGGATAAAGTTTATACAATTTAAATTGGATATAAAAAAATATCATTTAGCTTTTTTATAACTCTTATTTTATATATATATATATATATATATATATATATATATATATATATATATATATATATATATATATATATGTTTTCTGAGGTTTTCGCGGGGATTTGTATGTAGGTCTTTGGTTGTTCGGGTTTTCTCCCACGTAAAATTGGAAGTGTCTTGGCGACGTTTCGACGAAGTCCCATTCGTCATCTTCAGGCTGGTGCTTTCAGCTTCGTGCCTCGAGCACTGCTGCTCGAGGCACGAAGCTGAAAGCACCAGCCTGAAGATGACGAATGGGACTTCGTCGAAACGTCGCCAAGACACTTCCAATTTTACGTGGGAGAAACCCGAACAACCAAAGACCTACATATATATATATATTTATATATATATATATATATATATATATATATATATATATATATATTAGTGTTACACTCTTTTTTTTATATAATCTTTTTAACTTTTTTTAATTAAGCCTATATTCTGCTCTAGGAAGCTCCGGGGGGGGGGAGGGAGTGGGTGTTTTGGGGAAGGGTTGTTTTGTTTTGTTCTTTTTTTCTTCTTTTATGCTGTTGTTGTATTGTCATTTTTTTTGTCTTTTTGTAAAAATTTATAAAAATTTTCAATAAAAAAAAAATATGTTTAACATTCAGACTTACTTTTGCCATCATCCAGAAAGAAAAAAAAACACAAAATAGTCAGGAGCACAGGAACACCTTGAGGTAAAATTGCACAGCAGCAGTCCAGTGAAGTCGGAGAGACTAACACAAACTTGTTGTCTTTTACATGTGCATATATAAATAATATTTAATGTTCAAACTTACAAAGAGTCTTTGTCATCATCCAGAAAGGAGGAAACACAAGACAGTGGGGAACACAGGAAGATCCTGAGGTAAATTAAACAGCAGGCAGAACACAGAGAAGAAAAAAGGGGGCAGGGAAGGGAAACGCCCTTTAATAATTAAGGCAACCAATCACAGTGTAGCCCGCCTCCTGCATAAGGAGACAAGACAGTGGGGAACACAGGAAGATCCTGAGGTAAATTAAACAGCAGGCAGAACACAGAGAAGAAAAAAAGGGGGGGGGAGAGGGAAACGCCTCCTTTATAATTAAGGCAACCAATCACAGCGCAGATCACCTCGTGCATGAACAGACAAGACAGTGGGGAACATAGGAAGATCCTGAGGTAAATTAAACAGCAGGCAGAAGACAGAGAGGGAAAAAGGCGGGAAGAAAGGAAAACTGGATGGATGGGAAAGATGGAGGGTCGGAGGGAGAAAAAGAGATCAAAACTACTCAACGTGCTGGCTGAGGAATTCTGGGAGTTGAAGTCCAGCCACTTGCAAGTTGCCAAGGATGAGAAACGGATGGATAAAATGAAATATTATGAATATGTTTGATGTATTGATTAACCCAGGCAATATATATAATGGTTTTGATTTATTAAAGGGGATATTGTGTTATTAAGTAGATGATTTAATATGATAGGAAATAGATTATATTCAAATAGGTAAAATATGTATTTTGGATATTATAGTTTGTTATGCAATGAGATAAGGGAAATTTTGGTTACCCAAAGTCTGAAAAATTATAAATATTAAAGGTTAAATTGGAATATTGATAAGAAATTAAAAACTGAGTAAAAATTAATAACAGGATATGGATTGTTTATGAAGAGTGATTATGATATGTATAAGCTAAAAATGTATTGATAAATGAAATAATGATGTTCTTATTGAGCTGATATAATTAGAACTGTACTAACCTGAATATGAGACAGTAAATTTTAAGGGAAAAAGAGAAGAAATATTTGATGTGGTAATCTGAGATTTGCACTAAGATTTTGTTATTGAACTATTAATTAACCCAGTCACCACGTTGCTTTTTAAATATTCAAATGTAAAATTGGAAAATTAATAAAATATTATAAAAAAAGCACGGATGGATGGATTGGAAAAATGGAGGGATGGATAGATGAGAAAGAGGGAGGGAGCAAAAGAGATCAGAGCTTCTCAACACGCTGGCTGGGGAATTCTGGGATTTGAAGTCCATCCACTCGCAAGTTGCCAAGGATGAGAAACGGCTGGCTGGCTGGGTGGAAGGATTGGAAAGATGGATGGATGGACGGATGGACTGGAAAGATGGATAGATGGATTGGATGGATGGATTGGAAAGATGGATGGATGGATAGATGGATGATGGATGGATTGGAAAGAGATGGATAATGGATGAATGAATTGATGATGGATGGATTAGAAAGATGGATGGATGATGGATTGGAAAGATGGAGGGATGGAAGGCGGGAGGGGAGGAAGGGAGCGATGGAGAGAAAGAGATTAGAGTTTCCCAACATGTTGGCTGAAGGATTTGGGGAGTTGCAGTCCACCCATCTGCAAGTTGCAAAAGGATGAGAAATACCTTTGCATGGACAGATGGATGCATAGAGGGGGGGGGGGAATACGCGTGGATGCACGGAGTGAGACAGATCAGTGCTTCTCAACACACTGGCTGGGGCATACGGGGAAGCCAAGCTTGAGAAACGCCACCCTGGAGGCTGTGAATCTATGGGTTGTTGGCCTCCCTGAATCTTTGTGTGTTTGTGTGTGTGTCTTTCCACTAGCAGGCTCCCTCCCTCCCTCCTCCCTCCCTCCCTCCCGCTTTATGAAGATGGAGAAGCGGTCAGCCAGCACCCGGAGTTGCCTTCCAACCCTGTGCATTTCCTTTTGAGTGAAAGCGAAAGTGGAAGTTAGATGGAGGAAGGGAGGGAGGTAGACAAAGAGCAGGGCTTCTCAACATGCTGGCTGGGGAATTCTGGGAGCTGAAGTCCACCCATTTTCAAAGGGCCAAGAATGAGAAACAGCTGGAGGGAGGGATGGATTGAGGGAGAGAAAAAGAGATCAGAGCGTCTCAACATACTCGCTGGGGCATGCTGGGAGCTGAAGTCCACCCATTTTCAAGTGGCCAAGAATGAAACAGCTAGAGGGATGGAGGGAGGGAGGGAGATAAAGAGACTAGAGCTTCTCAACATACTCGCTGGGGCATGCTGGGAGCTGAAGTCCCCTCCCCACTTTCAAGTTGCTCAGCTTGAGAAACATCCTCCCGGAAGCTGTCAAAGTCAGGATGGGATGTTTGCCTCCCTACGTCTGGAGGGGGGGGGAGGAAGAAGAGAGGTCTTTCCACCAGGAGCCTCTCTCCCCCCTCCTTTCTGAAGATGGAGAAGTGGTCAGCCAGAACCTGGAGCTGCCTTCCACCGCTGCTCATTTCCTGATGAGTAAAAGCGAAGTGGAAGTTAAGGAGAGGGAAGATTCTTCGGGGAGAAGCTTTCTAGCCCAGTCTGTATTCAGCCTGTAGGCAGCAGCTGCAGAGGAAAAGGAAGCTAAGAGCACACAGGCGTGTGGGAGGGAGGGGCAGAGAGAGCGGGCCAGTGGGAGGGGGGAGGGAGGGAGAAGGCCAGCTTCTCTGGAGTTGGGGGGGGAGAGTTTTGTGAGGTCAAGCTCTCAGCCAATACTTGCGGAGCTCCTGTGGCTGCAAAGACCACCAGCTTGCCAAGGGCCTGAATTCTGATCCTGCCACCAAGACAGGGGAGGAAACCAGGCTGCCCCCTCCCCGTTCTAAGCGAGGGATTAGGAGTTCCTTTTCTTTTTCTGCAGATGAATGTTTTAGTCGTGAAGTCAGGACTGCACAGGGCTGTGAGGACTCGGTGGCTTGTTGCGAGGGCTTGCCGTTGTCTGACCCTTCACGGGGCTTTGCGAAGTTGGGGGTTGGCAGATCTCCCCCCCCCCGGTTGATTTAGAGCTAAGAGCAGAGCCTTGTGGTGGGGCTGCGCAGAGGAAACAGCCTGTAGTTTTCCGAGAGGGCTGAGAATGGGCTACTTGCTGCCGAAGGAAAACAGACCCATGATCCACAGCTTGACCGACAAGCATGGACTAACCTCTGCCAACGTGGGGACCAGGTCACTCCCCAGTCGAGCCCCAGAACAAATCTTGCCTCTTTGGCCAGGAAATATGGATCTCTCCTGCCTAGAACATAGAATCGCAGGCTGGAAGGGACCTCGGAGGTCTTCTAGTCCAACCCCAGCTCAAGCGCTTTGCAGAATCATAAAATGACAGAGCTGGAAGGGACCCTAGAGGTCTTCTAGTCCAATCCCGTGATCAAGAAGGAGACCCTTGCAGAATCACAGAAGGAGGTAGTTGGAAAGGACCTTGCAGGTCTTCTAGTCCAGCCCCCTGCTCAAGCAGAACCTCTACCATCTCAGACAAGTGACTGCCTCCTCTCTTCTCAAAAACCTCCAGTGATGGAGCGCCCACGATTTCTGGAGGCAGGTTGTTCCGCTGGTTAATTGCCTTCACTATTAGGAAATTTCTTCTCAGTTCTAGGTGCTTTTCTCCTCGATCAGTTTCCATCTGTCGCTTCTTGTCCTGCCGTTCTTCTCCTATGTCTGTCTCCAGGCCTTGGGCCTCTCTGAATTGGCAAGTCTGAAGGCCCCGCCCTTTCCTGTCAGCGAAAGTGAAAGTGGGAATCAGAGAGGTGCCAGGCTGCAAGAAGACTCTTGGGCTTCCTGGGGCAGCCCAGCTCAAAATACTCAGATAAGGAAATTCTTCTCGGTTCTAGGTCATGTTTCCATCTGTTGCCTTGTCCTGCTTCTGCTTTTGGAGGATGGGTTCTTTTTGGGGCAGCCCCTCAAATACTAGAATTCTGCTATCATGTCGCCCCTTTCTTTAACGCTAGCCAAACCCAAGTCCTGCAGCCGTTCTTTTCGTAAGTCTCCAGGCCTTTGATCATTAAATTGACAAGTCTGAGTTGCTTCGAAGCCCGGCCCTTTCCTGTCAGTGAAAGTGAAAGTGAAAATCAGAGAGGTCACACCCAGACTGCAGGAAGACTCCTTGGGCAGCTTCCTAGCCCGAATCTGGCATCGGGGCTTGTCACAGCTTAGGCAGCAGCTGCAAAGGAAGGGGAAGGTAAGGGGACTCAAGATATTATGGGGCAGAGAGAGGGCCAGTAGGAGCGGGAAAGAGGGGAGAAGACCAGGCTTCTCTGGAATTGGGGTGGTGGTGGTGATGGTGTCAGAGGCCTGTGTGGTCAAGACCTCCCTGCCCACAGTGGGGTGGGGGCGTTGCGGCGCTCCTGTGGCCGGAAACATCGCTACACTGCCCAGCCCCAGAATTTTGATCCTGCCACAAGCCCAGCAGAGGAAACCAGACTCTGCTCCTCTTCCTGCTGTAAACAGATTCATTCGGTTACGCAAATTTCTCTTTCCTTCTTTGCTACTCATTTAGCTAGAATAGGCACGGGTTTGACGTGCCTGAGCTAGAAAGATTTGTGCCCTCAGTTAAGAATAGAACAGAACAGAACAGAATAATAGAGTTGGAAGGGACCTTGGAGGTCTTCTAGTCCAACCCCCTGCTCAGGCAGGAAACCCTATACCATTTCAGACAAATGGCTGTCCAGTCTCTTCTTAAAAACTTCCAGTGTTGGAGCATTCACCACTTCTGGAGGCAGGTGGTTCACTGCTTAATTGTTCTCACTGTCCGGAAATTTCTCCTTAATTCTAGGTTCCTTTTCTCCTCTAGTTAAGCCACAGCTGAGCCCCAAATTTCTCTTGTGAAGTGAGGCATACGTTAAGTGAGCTTTGCCCCATTTGATGATCTTTCTCACCTCGGTTTTTAAGTGAATCATTGCCGTTGATAAGTTAGTCCCTCGGCCGTTAAGTGGATCCGGCTTCCCCAGTTGATTTTGCTTGTTGGAAAGTCGCGAAAAGCGATCGGGTGACCTTGGGATCCAGCGACGGTTAGAAATAGGAGTCTGTTGCCAAGCGTCTGAATTTTGATCACGTGACCCTGATCACCGTCATTCAGTGTGTAAAATGTTCCTAAATCCCTTTTCCCGGTACTGTTCTAACTTCATATTGCACTGTTATAAGTCGGGGATTATATCTGCTCCCTCTTTTGTGCTGACTAAGTGGGCTGAGCATGACGTCTCCACTTTGCAACACGGAAAAAACTAACCCGGCCATTTGATGGGGCCGATCCGTGCCTTGGCCATCGCTTCCTGTTTGAGGTGTGTCCGTTCTGAGTTCATTTCCTCTGGAAAGAACCAATTGGTGTTCCTGTCCGGTCCGCTTATTGTTAGGAAGAAAGGTCGTCCCACCTAAAAACTGTCCCTGCCCCACTGCTCCGGACAGAGGGGTCCTTACTCCCCCGACGCAGGATGGGCACCTCTGCCCATGAAGGCACTCAACCACCTTCAGAGGGTGGAGCGTGATCTTTGCCCACTGCCTGAACCTTGGGGGAGTTCCGGATCTGCCTGCTGGTCCCATAGCCCTTGTGACAGCCACGTAGGTGGTCTTCAGACTTTGAAGGGTCTGTGAGAGACACAGGGTGAATATCATGGTCCCGTCAGAGCCCAGGTCGGAGGAGGAGGAGGAGGAAATGGAGCCAGGGTCAGTGCAGGGGGATGGTGCAATCTCTATGGCTCAGGAGAAACGACCTGAGGACGAGGCAGGCGCAGGTCCCTCAACCCTCGGAAGAGTAGGCAGGGGGGAAGAGTGGGCGCAGGCTGATCGAGGAAGGCAGAGTCAATCCACGGCACCCTGGCTATTCGGGAGGAGGGTTCCCAGCTCCTCCTCACAAGGTTCACCTGGAGAGTAATGTTTAAGGAGGCGCAGTGAAGAGGGACTTTTGCCAGGAACAAGTGTTTGTCTTCAGATCACAATCCTTTTCGCCTTGCTTTAAGAACTGCTTTCACTCTGTGTGTCAACGACGGCTTTTGCCTTGCTGTGAGGGCTGTTCTTGGCTTGCCCTGGCCCTGACGATTCTCCCTTCAGACCTGCCTTGCCTTGGGCCCCGTCTTGCTTTGAGAAGGGCTCTTTGCCTTTTGGGTTGAACTGGGCCCTTGTGGTGTGAATTGCCTTTGCCTTTTGTTTCACTGTGCCCCTTTTGGAAGTTGCTCCTTGTCTTGCACCTTTGCCGTGCTCTGAGGACTGCCCTTGCCGTATGCCTGGAACTCTGCCTTGGGGCCTTGCTGGATAATCTATAGCAGTGGTTCTCAACCTTCCTAATGCCGCGACCCTTTAATACAGTTCCTCATGTTGTGGTAAACCCCAAGCCTAAGGGCTCTCCAAGCACGCAATGATGCTGCCTGATCACCCACCGCGCTCGGGGCTCAGCGCTCCTCGTCTGTCCTCGCCCCACTTCCAAAGGTCGCCGACCTGCCCAGCTCCAGCTGACCGGGGAGGGAGGGCAGGAAGGCCGCTCCGCCGGCTCCACCCAGCCTGGTTGGAGAAGCGCCCAGGCAGGGAGACAGAGAGAGAAGCCAAGAGGGCAACAGCACCGGCAGAGCTTAGTTCAGCCTCCTCCGCGGACAGGGCTGCGAAGCAACGCAGCCTCCCTTAGGAGATGCTCAACGTAAACGAATCCGGCGCTGCAACGGCCCCCAGCTCGAAGCTGTGCGGAGACGGATAGAGGAGCAGTGTCTCGCTTTCTAAGACCATCGGAAATATGTGTTTTCTGATGGTTTTATGCGACCCCTGTGAAAGGGTCATTTGACCCCCAAAGGGGTCGCGACTCCTCGGGTTGAGAACCGCTGATCTATTGGCTGTTGGTTGGGGGACTGACTAGTCAGTGGAGGGCCATTTGTTTAACCTTCCCAACAGACATAAAGAACTCTCTGGAGGGCTGCCTGGTGTTGCCCACCTGGGTCCTAACAGTGAAGGTATCCCCTTCCCCAAACTCTTTACATGGGTGGATTTGGGGAGCAGGTAAGTGGCACTTGCTGGTTAGTGTGTGGGGTGTAGGCTGTGCGGACTTCTCCAGTGGCCCTTCTGCTACCCGAAGCATCTGGGGGTCTGTGAGAGACACACCCCTTCCCCAAACTCTTTATCGGTGTGGCCTGGAGTGCACCCAATGGCGCTTTTTTGGAACAGCTTCCTAAGAATTGTTGGAGAGGGGGACATTCCTGGTTCAGGGAGGGACATGCACTGTCTCCCCCCCCTCTTGGTCAGTCTCTGCCTCCTCCAAGTGGTTCTTTTCTCTTGCAGGAGCAACACGCAGGAGCTGAGCCTGGCCATGGCTGAAAACATTGTGGAGACCCCAGCCCTGGGCCGCCCCTTCCAGCTGGGGATGCTGTACGACTGCCGTACGGATGTGCTCATCCCAGGTAGGAACTGGAGGAGAGTCCAAAGGATAGGCAGCCCCTGCAGGATCTCTAGAGGGAGGGAGAAGGGCAACGCCATCGATTCTCCAGCACAGCACAGGGTCACTTCAGGCCTCGGCTCCTGGATCTACAGCTTGCTGATAACGGCTATCTGGGTAGGACCTGCCTGGAATGCGTATCCAACCCTTTGGACAGGCACACAGCAACTTTCCTTGGCTCATAATAAAGTCTCTGAAATGCTTTGGAAAATGATTACAAAAGGAGTTGAGGTCCTACCCGGGATAGTGAAGTGAGGGATATTAATTTTAAAGTTGTGGTGCTGGTGCTTTTCTGGGGGGGGAGGGAGGTCTGAACACAGAAGGCCCCTCTGAACCCCTGATGAAAAACATGATTTCTCATGTTTTATAGATGGCACCTTGATCCACAAAAAATGTCTTTTATGTACCCTGACTTACAACCTAAATGTTGGAGATGTGGTTGTATGGACGCTACTTATTATCATATTTGGTGGTCGTGCAGAGAGATAAAAGCATTCTGGATTAAGATATGGTGGAATATCCAGAGAATTTTTAAAAGGAGGGTAAAATTTACTCCACAATTATTTTTGTTAGGTATAGTTATTGATTGTGATACAAAGGAGGTTATATTGATGTTAAATTTGATTACAGCTGCGAGGCTGTTAGTAGGACAATATTGGAAGAAGGAATCTTTGCCTACATTGCAGGAATGGTTTCTTAAAGTGTCTCATTTGGCGGAAATGGCAAAGATTTCGGCTTTCTTAAAGGGACAAACGCAAGAGAAATTTCTTGCTGTTTGGGATAAATGGATAAAATTCATACAATTTAAATTTGATATAAAAAAAATACTATATAGTTTTTTCATAATTTTTAACTTTATATATATATATATATTCTATTTTATATATTTTTTTATATAAATATAATTTTTTTTTAACTTTTTTTAATTAAGCCTATATTCTGCTTTGGGAGGCCCTGGGGAGGGGAAGGGGGGGGTTGGGTAGGGGTGGGGGAAGGGGGGTTTTGTTGGGTAATGTTTGTTTTTTATTTGTATATGTTGTTTTTTGTTTTTGTATTGTCTTTTATTTTCTGTAAAATTTATAAAACTCTTTAATTAAAAAAAAAAAAAGAAAAACATGATTTCTCCAGGGAATTGGAAATCTTTCTTGAAATCAACAGGTACATAGAAGTTCCCATTCCTCTCTACTCAGTCAAAAGCTTTTTGAGTTTCTGGTAGTTTGCAAAACTGCTGGGTGATGACCAGGCAGAACAAATGAGGTCACCATCCAGGAAAAATGATATCTCCATTGTCTCAGCACTCTGGGGCTTCTCTAGGCGTTTCTAAGGTCTCATTTCACGTTTATCTTCCTGTTGTCTCCTGTTCCGTGCAGGTGTCACCCTTTGGAACCCCCTCTCTCTGCAGAAGCACCTGACCATTAAGCCTCAGCCCAAGACCGAATTGGAAATCATTGCATCCGACACCATTGATGACAAGGCCAATGCTCTGGACATTTCAGGATCCCTCAAGGCCAGTTTCCTGGCAGGCCTGGTTGAAGTGGAAGGATCAGCCAAGTATCTTCATGATACCAAGAAGTCCAAGCAACAGGCCAGAGTCACCGTTAGGTACAAAACCACCACCAGGTATGAGCAGCTGACAATGAACCATCTAGGAACCCAGAAAGTTTCCCATCCAGAAGTCTTTGAGCATGGCACGGCCACCCATGTGGTCACTGCAATTCTTTTTGGAGCCCAGGCTTTCTTTGTCTTTGACCGAGAGGTTTCTTCAACAGAGATGATAAAAAATATAGAAGGAAACATCCATCTTGCAATCAAGAAGGAGATATCAATCACGGGAGAAGCAGAGGCCAAACTAAACAAGGAGGAGAAAGAGAATGCTCTGAAGTTCAGTTGCACATTCCATGGAGATTTTTCTCTGGAGAAAAATCCAGTCACTTTCCAAGATGCCATGAAAGTTTACGAAACTCTACCAAAAATGTTAGGGAAAGATGGGGAGAAGGCTGTTCCTGTGCGGGTCTGGCTCTACCCGCTGACCAAGCTCAACACCAAAGCAGCTAAGATGGTCCGTGAGATCAGCCTAGAATTGGTCTTTGATGCTGAGAAGATCTTGGAGGAACTCAATGAAATCCAGATGCAAAGCAATGATCTAGCCAACGATCCCATTGCCGAGACCTTCCCTGAGATCAAAGAGAAGATCCAGCAGTTCAAGGATCTGTGCAAGCAACACAGGCAAACTTTCCAGAAACAACTGGCCAGAGTGTTGCCTTCCATCCGGGGAGGAGGCCAGGAGGAAGGGACCCTGGTGGACATCTTGACGTCCATCAACCGGTCACCCTTCAATAGCCGAAGACTCCGTGAATTTCTAGACACCAAGAAAAGAGAAATTAACTTTGTCAGATCTTATCTAATGATTCTAAGTGGAATACAAATTATCTCTTCCCAGAACAAGATGGAAGAAATAGTTCTTGACCCTCAAAATTTATACGTGGTCTCCTTTGTATTCACTTTCTTATATGAAGAGGAGCCATTTCTGTTGAGCTTACAGGACAAGCTTCAGGAGCGATTCTTGCAAGAATCAGCTAAGTCCACAAGATCCACTCCAGAGGTCAAGAAAGGCATGGCCTGGTTTGAGGACCAGGAGAGGACCCACAATGCTCGCCAAGCGGCCAAATCCATGAAAGACTTTTTCAGTGTCAACCAATCGAATGAGAAGGTCCGCTTTGTCGTGGCCTCACTCCCAGATGTGGACATCCCAGGAGCCTCAATATACCTTTATGAAGATGGAAAGCTGGTCAGCAAGAACTTTGAGTTGCCTTCAAAACCTCTCCCTTTGCAGATTACTGAATCGAGACACAACAGCATTCAGCTGAAGTTTCAGCCAGCTGAATATGGCAAGGCTTCCACCTCCAGCTATCTGGTAGAGTACAAGATTGCAGAGGAAGAGAATTGGAAGACCGTGAGGACAGAGAACACCAGCAAGGTCTTCCTGCTGAAAGATCTGCCTCCAAACACAGAGTACCAGTTCCAGTATGCTGCTTGTTGCAAGCTTGGATTTAGTAAATCCAGTGACCTGAGCCCACCCATAAAGACTCTTTCCACCAGCCCTCCTGAGAAATTAAGAAAGGTCACTGCAGCATCTTCTGTCATCTCTGTGGCCTGGATGAGTCCCAGCATCGTTGCCTCAGGAGTTATGGTCAAGGAGTACAAAGTGGAGTACAGAATGGTAGAGGCTGGAGTTGGGAAGGACGAGTGGACTGGAAAAAGGACTGGGAGAAAAACAGAGTTTTACCCCATCGAAGGTCTGAAGCCCCAGACGGCATATAGAATACGGGTGTCAGCCGTGTGTGACAATAGAGCTCTGGGTGTCCCCAGTGAGGAGGTGGAAGTCTCCACATCACTGGAGGAAGAAGATGCAGGCAACGTCGCCCGCCAGTTCCTTCAGGGAAGCTCCCCGGTGGAGGACACACATCCGTTAGTGTTCGCTCTTCCTCTGAAGAAAGTCCCTTCAGATGCCTCCAGCTCCTGTCTCATATACCAGCTTGGAAAGGAGAACCCAAAAGTGCCGAACAAAGTGATCCTGATGATAGGAGCACTATGGGCTGGCAAAACCACACTGATCAACGGGATGATCAATTATATTCTGGGCGTCCAGTGGGGAGATAATTTCAGATTCAAACTGATTCACGAAACCACCCCGAGAAGCGAAGCTGGAAGCAGGACGTCTGAAGTCACTGTCTATGTGGTGCACCATCAGGAGGGTTTCCGGATTCCCTATTCTCTCACAATCATTGACACTCCAGGATTTGGAGGCAGAAGAGACGCAGAGCAAGACAAACTGGTTGAAAAGCAGCTCCGAGAATTTTTCTCCGCCCCAGGGGGCATTGACCACGTTGATGCCATTTGCATGGTGGCCCAGGCCTTCCTTGCCCATTCAGTTCATGCCCAGAAATGCATCTTTGATTCCATGCTCTCCCTGTTGGGAAAAGACGTGAAGGATAACGTCCAGCTCCTGATCACCTTTGCTGATGGGGGAACCGCACCTATCCTGGAGGCCCTCAAGGAGGCTGACCTGCCTTGTGATCGGGACAAGTCGGGAACCCCTCTGCACTTCAGATTCAACCATTCATCCCTCTTTACTCACGGAGAAAGTGGAGGAAGTCATAATGCTGCTGCTGAAATATACTGGAAAATGAGCACCAACAGCATGAAGAACTTCTTTGACTCACTAATGTTGCTGGAAACCAAAAGGTTAACTTTGACCATGGAGATCCTCAAGGAACGTCTGGAGATGGAAGCTGCTCTTAGAAGACCTCCCTCTCTAAAGGTTGAACCAGTCGAACCAAATAGTTTCCAGATCAGGATTGACCCAGTCGCCATTGGGAAGCCTTCAGTCTCCTGGTACCAGGTGGAATATCGGATTGCAGGGCAGAATTGGAAGAGTCTCCATACTGAAGGCCCTAAAGATCAATTCACCCTGGAGGATGTCCAACTAAATCTTCAGTTCCAATTCCGATGTGCAGCTATGACTGAATTTGGGCTCGGTCAATGGAGCGAGGAGATCACTTGCATCTATCCGAGGGGGAGGCCTGCAGAGGTAACTTGACACCTTCTTTGGAGGAAGAGGGGAGGACGAGAACGAGGAGGCAGTAGAATAGGGTGATACCAGTTTTGGGTGCTCCATCACTGGAGATTTTTGAAGATTTTTGGCATTTGCAGCAAAGAAACTCCAGGGAAATTCTTTTACCAAGAGTTTAAGTTTCCTGATAGATCCATATAGGCCAGTGGTTCTCAACCTGTGGGTCGGGACCCCATTTGGGGTCGAACGACCATTTCACGGGGGTCGCCAAACAACACAGTCCGCCATTTTTCCCCCCTTTTCCTTAGCTGTGCTACTCCCTTTTATTCTATTGGCTATTGAAAGTCAATAGAATAGACTCTCTTGAATAGAGTCTAATTCTATTGGCTTTCCAAAGCCAATAGGAATTGTCCAGGCTGTCTCTGCCCTGCTGAGCCCGCCAAAATTCCCATTCTGCAAACGGTGCTGCACCAGTTGAGTAATCCTCAACTTACGACCGGTTGAGTAGTCCTCGACCTACAGCCGGTTGGGGGTCGCGGCATTAAAAAGGTTGAGAACCACTGATATAGGCACAGTAGAAGCAAAGCTAGTTTTCAGGTTTTGCCATTAAAAACAGCACAGCAATAATCCCCCCTTTCCTCCCCGGGCCCCCCGTTGTCTGTTGTCCACCAATCCAGTTCAGTCATTGTTTTGGGAAACACCTTAAGGTGCTGGAAACTTTCTCAGGCCACAACCCGTGCACATACATTCCTCATTCCCCTCCCAGCCACCCATCAATTCCAATCATCCCCTTCCGCCCTCCCTAGTTTTTGTTGTCTGGTGGTGAGTAAGGTTTGCAAAGCGGGTCAGCCATGACGCACGAGGCCACGGGAACCGAGCAGGAGAGACTAGTCTCTGACCTGATGGAGACAGTGCCGGTGGGCGAGGACCGTTTTGCAGAATGGAGGGAGCGACTACAAGCGTGAGGTCCATCCTGTGGGATGTCTTAGACAGGAACAGGGCTGAGTGGGAAGACCACTCGGGGAACCTGCTGGAGGGGGGGCAGATCTGATCCAAGTCAGGTCCTTTTTTAATCTCCCTCCAAGTCTTGCTTGACTTCTGGGTGAGGAGAGTTCTTAGCAACCTCTGAGCAAGGCAGCCTCTCCTTTGGCTGATTCTGTTTTTTCTTTTCACGCAGAAATCTCAGGTTATGTGCTGTGCGGCTGGTCTGCATATGACTGTACGCATCCAAGGTAAAGTCTTGGGTTCAGGTGGGGTGGAAGCTACTGTTCTGGGTGGGGGGACAGGCTGTGACGGTCGTACACTGCTGACCAGTCCCCTTCTTCTCTCTTCTCCCCTTTGGGTTGTAGGGTCTGAACAGAGGATCGTCCTTGTGGGCAGAAGCGGAAATGGGAGAAGTGCGACGGGAAACACAATTCTGGGAAGCAACGTCTTTAAAAGTTACATGTCAATTACATCAGTAACAAAAGCATGTCAAAAGGAGGACACACAGCTAAATGGCAGGAAGGTTGTGGTTGTTGATACGCCTGCCTTTTTCGATCTCAGTCTTCCACCCAACTACGTTGTTGCAGAAGTGAGGAAGTGCGTGAAGTTTTGCTCCCCAGGTCCCCACGTCATTCTGCATGTGATGCTTCCTGGTGATTTCACTCAGGAGGAGGAGCAGGTGCCTCAGCTGATCAAAGAGATTTTTGGCCTTAAAGCCAAAAATTACATCATCCTTTTGTTCACCCACAAAGAGGATCTGGAAGGTACCTCTATCGAAAATGTCATAGCTGTATCTGATAAAAAACTGCAGCAATATGCTGCTGAATGTGGGAACCGGTTCCTGGCTTTCAACAACAAGGCCGAAGGGGCAGAACGAGAGGCTCAGGTGGCCAAACTGATGACCATGATTGATTGTCTGGTGGAAACAAACAGAGATGCTCCTTGTTACACGGAAGAGATGATGAGCTTCAACGAAAGACACAACTTCTGATTTTTTTTTCCTTTCCAACAGAGGTCAGAAAGTTTCTTTAATTGAGCCTCAGCTCCCAAGGTGGCAACTCTGCCAAATGCCACAGCCCTTCCGTTCTGTGTTCTAATCCAGCTCTTGCCATGTGACCTCTGAAGAACCCAGGCCAGAGATTCGTGGCTGAGTTCCACTCAGCCGATTCCTTCTCTTGAGAATCCGCTTCCTCCCCCTTGGATGACAGGACTTTTTTCAAGGGCATGGGAAGATCCTGCCCACCCGTCCCAGGATCAGTAAGTCCCACAGCCGAATTCTCTCCCATCCTGGACCCGTGTCCTTTAGGGAGGACCAGGTCTTTGGGGCTTCCCACCTGTCTGTCCTTCGAGGTAGACCAGGCCGGGAAGCCAACAACACAAGAAATGTTAGAGCTCAACTTTACGGGGAGAGCAGGAGAATCTGGAGAGCACTCCTTCTGGCACCAAAGAGCATCAAGCCAGGGCAGCCTTGAGCTTCTTTCTCACCCCTTCCTGTTATCCTGGAGCGGATTCGTTTTTTCCTATCAGCTGCCACATATTTTCTGCAAGGCTGAGACTGTACTCCTCTACATCAGGGCTCTCCAACTCATGGGCTGTGGACTGATACCGATCTATGGTCCACCAGGAACTGGGCTGCGCAAGTGGTCAAAGTCCCATTCCTGCATGGGTGGGATCCAGGCAGCATGTGAAACCAAGGCCCCCTGTTCCATGGAAAAAACACCTTCCACGGAACTGGTCCCTGGTGCCCAAAAGGTTGGGGGGCGCTGCTCTACACCACCTTCCAGAGACAACACCTAGACTCACTAGGACGGTCATGACTGTTTCAATCAGAGACCTTCTTATTAAATCTCTTTCCTTACAAAAGTTTGTTTGTTTGTTTGTTTGTGTGTGTGTGTGTGTGTGTGTGTGTGTCAGGGGGACTAATGAACCTCAGCCTAACCAGCTCTGTCTGCAATGTGATCCAAAGGCAGAGGAGAACGGGGATGTTGTCCAATCGTCCTGGAGAAAGGGGGACATGGAATTCGTGTCAGATTATACTCGAGGGATGGAGCAGAATGCAGGGTATCCCCCGTAGCTTTTCACACTGGCTCCAGGAAGGGGGTCTGAGGAAATCAGGCTCCTGCTGGGTCCTTCCCATCTCTTAGTGTCTGTCAGCTCCACTCCAGATGCTTCTCTTCGCCGACTTGCTTCTGGTCTCCTGGTCAAGCAAGAGGAAGAAGGACACATGCCCAGCAGCCAAATTTGCAGCAGGACGTTCGGATTTGTCAACCTCTTCTCCAAAGCCCCTGAAGGCCGGACAAGAAGCAACGGATGGAAACTAACCAAAGAGAGAAGCAACCTGGAACTAAGGAGAAACTTCCTGACAGAAACAATTAATCAGTGGCATGACCTGCCTCCAGAAGTGTTAGATGGATAGATGGATGGAAGAGGGGAAAGATATATATGGTGGAAGGGAGGGAGGAAGGAAGAAAGGTGTGGGGAGGGAGGGATGGAAGAAAGGAAGGAGACGGGAGGGAGGAAGTATGAGGGATGGATAGATGGGAATGAGATATACGATGGGAGGAAGGAAGGAGAGGGAGGGATGGAGGGAGGGAGATAAATGGGGGAGGGGGGAGGAAAGAAGGGAGATATATGGGGAAGGAAGGAGGGATGGGGAGGGAGGGCTGGGGCATGCTGGGAGTTGAAGTCTATCCATTTTCAAGTTCCCAAGGATGAGAAACAGCCAGAGAGAGGGAGAGAAGGAGAGAGGGGGAGAGAGAGATCAGAGCTTCTCAACATGCTGGCTGGGGCATGCTGGGAGTTGAAGTCCACCCATTTTCAAGTTCCCAAGGATGAGAAACAGCTAGCCTTTAGTATATGTAAATAAATACGTTTAACATTCAGACTTACTTTTGCCATCATCCAGAAAGAAAAAAAAAAACCAAAATAGTCAGGAGCACAGGAACACCTTGAGGTAAAATTGCACAGCAGCAGTCCAGGTGAAGTCGGAGAGACTAACACAAACTTGTTGTCTTTTACATATCTATCTATAAATAACATTTAATGTTCAAACTTACAAGAGTCTTTTTTTTGTATTAAATTTTTTTTAAAGTTTTACAATAAAACCCCTTCCCCTATCCCTCCCAACCCACCCCAAAACCCTCCCCCGTTCTTCCCAGAGCTGAATATAAGCTTAACTAGATCTTAAAAGAAAAAAGTTTTAAACCCAAATAAACCTTAAGCAAATATAATTACACTCAATAAACAAATTGTAAAATACTTTAACTCCATTATATATAAAAAACAAAAAGAGGGGAAAAAAAAGAGAAAATAAAAAAAATAAAAAATTAAAGAATAACAATTACACTTCTAAATACTATCTTAAACTTATATAAATTATTCAAAAGCTAGATAATATTTTCTTATATCATACTTATATTGTATAAAATTTATCCATCTTTTCCACACCAAAAGATACTTCTCTTGCGATTGATCTTTCAAGAAAGCCGAAATTTTTGCCATTTCCGCTAAGTAAGAAACTTTAAAAAACCATTCTTGCAAAGTAGGCAAAGATTCCTTCTTCCAATATTGCCCTATTAACAACCTAGCCGCAGTAATTAAATTTAACATTAAAATAATCTCTTTATCATCACAATCAGAAATAATAACCAACAAAAACAATTGTGGAGTAAATTTTATCCTTCTTTTAAAAATTCTTTGAATATTCCACCATATCGTAATCCAAAAAGCTTTAATACTTTTACATGACCACCAGATATGATAATAAGTAGCATCCGAGCAGCCACATCTCCAACATTTAGGCTGCAGGTTTGGATACATACGAGACATTTTTTGTGGATCAAGGTGCCATCTATAAAACATTTTATGAAAGTTTTCCCGTAAGTTTTGGGCTTGCGTGAATTTAACATTCCTCACCCAAATAATCTCCCATGTATCTAATAAAATCGGTTCATCAAAATTTTGTGCCCACTTAACCATACAATCTTTAACTAGCTCTGCTTCTGAATCCAATTCCACCAAAACACCATAAATTCTTTTAATGTGGGTTCGACTTTGATCTCTAATTTGTTTTAACAAATTCTCATCCTCTCTAAGCAAGCCCACCTTATAATATATCTTCCACCTTTCCAATAATTGTCTATACTGAAACCATGAATAAATAATATTTTCTTGTGCTAATTCATCCATAGATTTTAATTGCCAATTTTTACCATCCCACTTAAGTAATTGTGTATAAGAAATAATATCCATCTTAACTCCTCTCCTTATTCCTTCTATTGCATGCCATGGAATAGCCCATAATGGAATTCTTGAATCACTTCTATAGTATTTCTTCCAAACCCGAAGTAAAGAAATTCTTAAGATATGAGATCTAAAGACCCTATCAACCTTTTTATTATAAATTAAATAGGCATGCCATCCAAAAGGTAAATCCCATCCCTCCAAAAGGAGTATATCTACATTTGTTAGATTAACCCAATCACTAATTGATGTTAAAACCACAGCATCGTAATACAATTTCAAATCCGGTACCTTAAGTCCACCTCTCTCTCGTATATCTTGTAAAATTTTAAGTTTTACTCTTGGTTTTTTCCCTGCCCAGATAAATTTATTGATACCTTTCTGCCACTCATCTAAATTTGCTTCTTTCTTTAAAATAGGTATCATTTCAAACTTACAAGAGTCTTTGTCATCATCCAGAAAGGAGGAAACACAAGACAGTGGGGAACACAGGAAGATCCTGAGGTAAATTAAACAGCAGGCAGAACACAGAGAAGAAAAAAGACGGCGGGGAAGGGAAACGCCCCCTTTATAATTAAGGCAACCAATCACAGTGTAGCGCGCCTTCTGCATGAGCAGACAAGACAGCGGGGAACACAGGAAGATCCTGAGGTAAATTAAACAGTAGGCAGAACACAAAGAAGAAAAAAGGCTGGGGGGGAGGGAAACGCCCCCTTTATAATTAAGGCAACCAATCACAGTGCAAATCACCTCGTGCATGAACAGACAAGATAGTGGGGTAGATAGGAAGATTCTGAGGTAAATTAAACAGTAGGCAGAAGACAGAGAAGAAAAAAGGCGGGAAGATGGAGGGTTGGAGGGAGAAAAAGAGATCAAAGCTACTCAATGTACTGGCTGGGGAATTCTGGGAGTTGAAGTCCAGCCATCTTCAAGTGGCCACGGCTGAGAATCACCATCCCAGAGGCTGCGAAGCTCTCGATGTGGGAGGAAATGATTTCCAGGCAATCCTGGCGGTGGAGTGTTTTGCCCCTGCCCCGTCCCCCCACCAGTCTGGCTGTTCTTTTCCACACCCCCAACACCCCCTTTATGAAAATGGAGACCTGGTGGTCAGCCAGAACCGGGAGCTGCCTTCAACCCCTCGTCCATTTTCTCTTCAGTGAAAGTGGCCAGGCTGGAGGTAGGTTCCTGGGGGGCGGGGGAGGGGAAGAAAAGTTTTCTAGCTTCTGAGGTAAATGAAACAGTAGGCAGAACACAGAGAAGACAAAAGGCGGGAAGAAAGGAAAGCAGGATGGATGGGAAAGGGAGGGAGGGATGGGAGAATAAAGATCAGAGCTTCTCAACACACTGGCTGGAGAATTCTGGGATTTGAAGTCCAGCCACTTGCAAGTTGCCAAGGATGAGAAACGGCTGGCTGGCTGGATGGAAGGATTGTAAAGATGGATGGGTGGATGGATTGGAAAGGTGGATGGATGGATTGATGGATTGGAAAGATAGATGGATGGATGGATTGGAAAAATGGATGGATGGATGGATTGGAAGGATGAATGGATGGATTGGAAAGGTGGATTGATGGATAGATGGATTGGAAAGGTGAATGGATGGATGGATTGGACAGATGGATGGATGGATTGGAAAAATGGATGGATGGATTGGAAAGATGGAGGATTGGAAAGATGGATGGATGGATTGGAAAAATGGATGGATTATTATAATTATTATAATCTTTCCCTTATTCTTTGTCTTCTCATTTTTTCTCTGAGTCTTTCCCTTTCTCTTTTCATTCTCTCCTCTCATTCTCACTTTTTCTCTCTTCTGTCTCTCATCTCATTCTTTCCCTTATTCTTTCTTTTTCTTTCATCCTCATTCTTTCTCACCCTCATTATTTCTTTCCCTTTCTCTTGTCATTCTCATTCCTTCTCATTCCCTCATTCTCTCCCTTTCTTTTTCTCATCTCTTTTCTAATTGTGTCATTCTCATTCTAATTCTTTTTTTCTCATTCTTTCTCCTTGTCATTCTTTCATTCTTTCTCCTTGTCATTCTTTCTCTCAATCTATTTCTCATCCTCTCCCTCTCTTCTCATTCTCTCCCCCTAATTCTGTCATTCTTTCTGTTTCTTCTTTCTTTCCATTTTTTCTTTCTTTGTTATTCTTTCTTTTCATTCTTTCTCTTTCTCTTCTAATTCTGTCATTCTTTCTCTCTGTTCTAATTATTTTTTTCTCATTCTTTTTCTGTCCTTCTCCTTCTGTCATTCTTTCATTCCCTCTTTCCCTCTCTTCTAGAAAATTCTGTCATTCTTTCTTTCTCAATCTATTTCTCATCCTCTCTCTTCTCATTTTCTCCCCAATTCTGTCATTCTTTCCTTCCATTATTCTTTCTCCTCTCATTCTTTTTTTCTCTTTTCATTCTCCCCTCATTCTCTTTTCTTTCTCATTCTCTTCTAATTGTCTTTCTTTCTCTCTATTCTAATTTTCTTTCATTTTCTCATTCTGTCCCTTTCGTTCTCTTTCATAACCTGTCTTCTTTCCCTCTCTTCTAGAAAATTGTGTCATTCTTTTTCTCTCAATCTATTTCTCATCCTCTCTCTCTTCTCATTCTCCCAAGTCATTCTTTCTCATTCTGTTGGCTCATTCTGTCTTCTACACACAAAGAGACACAAACACACACACAGAGAGAGAGAGAGAGAGAGAGAGAGAGAGAGAGAGAGAGAGAGAGAGGGGGTGGCTCTATTTTTCCTCCAAAAGATTATTTTAGTTAAGAACTGCTTCGGTTCATTGTTTACGCTGGAATTTTTTTCTCCCCATGGAATGTAAGTAAAACATAATGTTTCTCCAATAAATGGTAAATACCAAAAAAACCAAAAAAACAAAACCCGATTATTTTAGGGAGGAAACCATAAGGGAAATCCTGAGGTAAACGGACGGAGCACAAAAGCGCAGCCGGGAGAGAAAAAAAAAAGGCGGGAAAAGAAAGGGGACGCTCCCCCTCCCCCTTCAGAACGACCAATCCCAGCGCAGATCGCCTCAGGAGCGCCGGCCCTCTCCAGCCAATCAGCTGTACGTGGGCGGGGCCTGGCTCACGGACCTTGCCCTGAAGCGGCTGCTGAACTTAAGGAGCTTCAGAGTTGGGGGGCTTGGGGTGGCTGGGGAGGGGGCTGAGGGGGGTTGGGGCCTCTCCCTCCCCCGTGGGTCGCAGCGCCCTCACCCGCAGTGGGTCCCCCCAAACGGGCCACGTGACTCCCACCTCCCTCTTCTGGACCCTATTCTGCAACTGGCAAGGCTGTGGGGCCTAGTGGTTGCCTGTTGGGTGATTTGTCTGGAGCTTTTCGTTCTTTTTTTTTTTTTTTTTTTTTAAAAAATCTGTATTCCTATTTTGAGGGAAAGCCCCTCGGAGCCATTCTGGAAGGAAAGAAGGAAGGAAGACGAGGGAGAGAAGGATGACAGGGAGGGAAGGAAATGGATAAAGGATGGATGGATGTTGGAAGGAAGATGAGAGGCAGAAAAGGAAGAAGCATGGATGGATGGGAAGAAGCAACAAAAGAAAGTTGGATGAAGGAAGGAAGACAATGGAATGAGAGAAGGAAGGAAGATGAGAGAGGCAGGGAAGGAAAGAGATGGATGGGGGAGGGAAGGAAGGAAGATAAGAGGGAGAGAAGAAAAACGGGAGGCAAAGAAGGAAGGAAGACGGAGGCAGAGGAGGAAAGAAAGGTGGGTGGGTGGGTGGAATCAAAGAAAGTTGGATGGAGGAAGGGAGGAAGATAAGAATGGAAGGAGAGGAGGAAGGAAAACAGAAGGAGAAAAGGAAGGAAGACAGAAGAAGGAAGGAAGACGAGAGAGGCAGAAAAGGAAGTCCCACCATTCCATTGCCCAGGCCGAGAAGATCAGTGGTGACTTCCATAACATGGTGCCATAGAATTGCAATGGGATAGATGGTATCTTTTGATATCTAAGGAAGCCAACCATCAAACTGCTTCTGGTGTCACTGCGGTGAGACAATCTGGGCTGCCTCCAAAGTTAATGAGGAGACGTTCTCCAACTATATGTGTTATAGTTTGTTCCGGTGTGCCACAGTTGCCTTGCAAGCTCTCAGCCATTCCCCACTTAAAGAGCTTTGCCTTAGCATGGCCTGTCCTGATTCTATCAGTCAATCAGAATAGAGCTGGAAGCAACCTTGGAGTCCAGCCCGCTGCTCAAGCAGGAGACACGACTAGTTAATTGTCCTCACTCACTGTCAGGAAGTTTCTCCTTAATTCCAGGTTGTTTCTCTCCTTGATTTGTTTCCATCCATTGTTTCTTTTTTTTTTTCCAAAGATAATTTTTATTAAATTTTTGAAATTTTACAAAAACAAAACAATCTTCCCCCCAACCTCCCCAACCCTCCCATTCCCTCCCCCGACCTTCCCAGAGCTGAATATAGGCTTAATTAAAATTTCATCAAAAAATCTTAAAAAAAGATATAAACCATAAATGAATCTAACATTAGTTAGAAATCTAAACACATTAATTAGAAAAATTATAAAATAATTAACAATAGTATATATATATATAAAAAACAAATACAAAAAATAAATGTTTAGAAAGGAAAAGAATAAAAAAAATGAAAAAAGAACAAAAAAAGAAAATATTCCATTTTAAATATAAATTGTTAAAAAACTAAGTAATATTTTTTTATATCCAACTTATGTTGTATAAAATCTATCCATTTTTTCCATACCGCAACATACTTCTCTTGCGATTGATCCTTCAAGAAAACCAAAATCTTTGCCATTTCCACCAAATAAGAAACTTTAAGAAACCACTCTTGCAAAGTAGGCAAAGATTCCTTCTTCCAACATTGCCCTACTAACAACCTTGCGGCTGTAATTAAATTTAACATCAGTGTAATCTCCTTAGTATCACAATCAATAACGATACGTAACAAAAACAATTGTGGGGTAAATTTTACCCTCCTTCTAAAAATTCTTTGAATATTCCACCATATCTTAATCCAAAAGGCTTTTATATTTTTACACTACCTCTACCTCTATTCGGGTGATTCTCTTCTCCCCCCCTTCACCCAGGAGGGAGATTTCGAGCCGCGGGACAGCTGTTTCCATCCATTGTTTCTTGTCCTGACTTCAGATGCTTTGGAGAATAGGTTGACCCCCTCTTCTTCTTTGTGGCAGCCCCTCAAATACTGGAAGACTGTTGTCATGTTCCCCCCCCCCCAGTCCTTCTTTTCTCTAGACTGGCCATACCCAAATCCTGCAACTGTTCTTCATCTTTTAGTCTCCGGGCCTTTAATCAACTTAGTTGCTCTTCTCTGCACTTTTTCCAAAGTCTCAAAACCAGTGGTTCTCAACCTTTCTAATGCCGCGACCCCATAATATAGTTCCCCATGTTGTGGTGACCCCCAACCACTTATACATCACTGGGTGCCAAGAAAAGGGGGGAAAATGGCGGACAGCCTTGTTTGGCGACCCCCGTGAAAAGATCGTTCGACCCCAAATGGGGTCCCGACCCACAGGTGGAGAACCACTGCTCAAAACTCTTTTTTATAATGTGATCAAAACTAAATGCCCTATTCCAGGTGTGGCCTTACTAAGGCTTTAGAAAGCGGTACTAATCCTTCGTGTGATACTGATTCTGTGCCTCCGTTTATACAACCATGATTCGTACTGTATTAGTTTTTTGGGCTGCTACGAGACGCAATCTCATACAATCTCTGGACTCTGTTCCCATCATAAACGCCATCATAAACCCTACCAGCGGTTCAAAGGACGGAGAGATCTAGCAGGGAAGCAGCAAAAGAGAGCAGTAGGTCCCACCTGCCAACAGAGATTCCTGACTCCTCCAACCAGGTGAGGACCCCAGAAGCGCCAAGACCTCCGAGTTGGCATTTGCGGTGGCAGCGGAGTGGAGTCGGGCGAGGGCAGGGCTATTCCTGGGCATCTGGTGGAAAGCGGGTCAGTCTTGGACTGGGCTGCTCCCTGCTTTTACACAAGAGCAAGTGGTCCCTCCTCTCTGGGAAACGCTAAGGGGGTGGATAGGACACCCTCAATGTTAGGAAAGGCAGTTTCCAGCAGGACGAGGGATTTAGCAACAGATGTGACACAGATGCACCTGTGTTGTTGAGGGGGAAAAAATATTCCAGGAAATTTGGGGAGAGGGGTTGCTCCTTTTCGGGAAGGCTTCTGAATTCTGTCCAGACAGCCAAACAAGGGGAGAGCTGGAACGGGGAGGGGGAAGGAAGGAGGGGACACCTTCATCTAAAGCCCCCACGCCGTTGTGACTCTCAATCCCCCCTCCAAACTCCCCAGGAATTTTTCCAGCGAGATTCCAAGATTTTCCCAGAGGAATCAGACTTTGGTTCTGCTGGCTCCCCTGAAAACGTGCTGTGGCTTGGCTGGGAGGAAGGAGGAAGTGGGCAGGCACATCCGTGTGTGACTTCCTTCTCAATCAGTCAACCAATCAATCAGAATAGAGCTGGACAGGGCCTTGGAGGTCCAACCCTCTGCTCAACTCCAGGCAGAGTCTTCAGTTAATACAATGGGTGTGACCCTAAACCAGGAACTGGCTCCTCTCCCCTCCTTCAGCCATCCCAGAAATTGGAGTACCATCGGTGGGTGGGGTGAGACTTGAGGCCCCACCTGCATCCCCTCCTAGAGTCATAAGTCGGTCTCGGCCTCCCCCAGACGGTTCCTTTCTCTCTTGCAGGGCAACAAGCTTGCAGCAACCAGCAAATGCCAAGCATGGCTCAGACAGACGATGCCATAGAGATTGCAGCCCTCGGCCGCCCCTTCCAGCTGGGGATGCTGTACGACTGCCGCAAGGATGCCCTCGTCCCAGGTAGGAGCCAGAGGAGAGGCTGATGGGTGGGCATCCCTGGCAGGAAACCTGGGAGGGAGGGAGGGAGACAGGCACTACCATCAATTGCAGGCTTAGCCCAAGCACACTTAAGAGCTGGCATCCTGAACACAGGGCCTGCTACTACCAGCTAGCTGAGTAGGGTCTTCTGCCTGGCATGTGTATGCAGCAGTGCTGGCCCTGACTACCAAACGTGGGGTGGGTTTCCATACCAAACTCACTGAAATGCTTTGGGAAAGGACAAAACCTCTCTACTCAGTCAAAGGCCTGTGGGGGGTTTTGCAGTATTTTGCAAAACAGACCATTTCCCTGGTGACTGGTGGACAGAACAAAGGATGTTACCCTCAGGGAGAAAGGATGTCCCCTTGTCCAAGCTCTCTGGGGCTTCTCTATCCAGTTTCAGATTTATCTCCCTGTCTTCTCCTGTTCCGTGCAGGCGTCACCCTTTGGGACTACAGCTCCCTTCAGAAGGACCTGACCACCAGGCCTCAGCCCAATACAGAAACTAAAATCATTGCATCTGACAATATTGATGACAAGGCCTCTGCCCTGGACATCTCAGGATCCCTCAAGGGCAGCTTCCTGGGGGGGCTGGTTGATGTGAGAGGATCAGCCAAGTATCTTTACAACACCAAGAAGTCCAAGCAACAGGCTAGAGTCACCGTCCAGTACAAAACCACCACCAGGTATGAACAGCTGACCATGAGCCACCTGGGAATCCAGAATATCTCCCACCCAGCAGTCTTTGAGCATGGCACGGCTACCCACGTGGTCACCGCCATCCTCTACGGAACCCAGGCTTTCTTCGTGTTTGACCGGGATGATTCCTCAACAGAAATGGTAAAAAATATAGAAGAAAATCTCCACGTCACAATCAGGAAGATGATATCCGTCACAGGACAAGAAGATATGAAGCTAAACGAGGAGGAGAAAGAGAGTGCGCTGAAGTTCAGTTGCATGTTCCATGGAGACTTTTCTCTGGAGAAAAATCCAGTGACCTTCCAAGATGCCATAACAATTTATGAGACTGCCAAAAATGTTAGGGAAAGATGGGGAGAAGGCTGTTCCTGTGTGGATCTCGCTCTACCCACTGACCAAGCTGGACACCAGAGCAGCTAAGATGGTCTGTGAGATCAGCCTAGAATTGGTCTTTGATGCTGAAAAGATCTTGGAGGACCTCAATGAAATTCAGATGCAAAGCAATGACCTAGTCAACGATCCCATTGCCGAGACCTTCCCTGAGATCAAAGAGAAGATCCAGCAGTTCAAGGATCTGTGCAAGCAACACAGGCAGACTTTCCAGAAACAGCTGGCCAGAGTGTTGCCTTCCATCCGGGGAGGAGGGCAGGAGGAAGGGACCCTGGTGGACATCTTGACGTCCATCAACCGGTCACCCTTCAACAGCCGAAGACTCCGTGAATTTCTAGACACCAAGAAAAGAGAAATTAACTTTGTCAAATCTTTTCTGACTATTTTAAATAAGATACAAATTATCTCATCTCAGAACAAGTTGGAAGAAATAGTTCTCGACCCTCAGAATGGATACGTGGTCTCCTTTATATTCACTTCTTTACACGAAGAGGAGCCGTTTCTGTTGAGCTTACGGGACAAGCTTCAGGAGCAATTCTTGCAAGAATCAGCTAAGTCCACCAGATCCACTCCTGGGGTGAAGAAAGGCAAGGCCTGGTTTGAGGACCAGGAGAGGACCCACAATGCTCGCCAAGCGGCCAAATCCATGAAAGACTTTTTCACTGTCAACCAATCGAATGAGAAGGTCCGCTTTCTCGTGGCCTCACTCCCAGATGTGGAGACCCCAGGAGCCTCAATATACCTTTATGAAGATGGAAAGCTGGTCAGCAAGAACTTTGAGTTGCCCTCAAAACCTGTCCCTTTGCAGATTACTGAACTGAGACACAACAGCATTCAGCTGAAATTTCAGCCAGCTGAACATGGGAGGGCTTCCACCTCCAGCTATCTGGTAGAGTACAAGATTGCAGGGGAAGAAAACTGGAATACCGTGAGGACAGAGGATGCCGGGGAGTTGTTCCTGCTGAAAGATCTGCCTCCAAACACAGAGTACCAGTTCCAGTATGCTGCTTGTTGCAAGCTTGGATTTAGTGAATCCAGTGACCTGAGCCCACCCATAAAGACCTTTCCCACCAGCCCTCCTGAGAAATTAAGAAAGGTCACTGCAGCATCTTCTGTCATCTCTGTGGCCTGGATGAGTCCCAGCATCGTTGCCTCAGGAGTTATGGTCAAGGAGTACAAAGTGGAGTACAGAATGGTAGAGGCTGGAGTTGAGAAGGACCAGTGGACTGGAAAAAGGACTGGGAGAAAAACAGAGTTTTACCCCATCGAAGGTCTGAAGCCCCAGACGGCATATAGAATACGGGTGTCAGCCGTGTGTGACAATAGGAGCTCTGGGTGTCCCCAGTGAGGAGGTGGAAGTCTCCACATCACTGGAGGAAGAAGATGCAGGCAACGTAGCCCACCAGGTCCTTCAGGGAAGCTCCCTGGTGGAGGACACACATCCGTTAGTGTTCGCCCTTCCTCTGAAGAAAGTCCCCTCAGATGCCTCCAGCTCCTGTCTCATATACCAGCTTGGAAAGGAGAACCCAAAAGTGCCCAACAAAGTGATCCTGATCATGGGAGCAACATGCTCTGGGAAAACCACACTGCTCAACGGGATGATCAATTATATTCTGGGCGTCCAGTGGGGAGATAATTTCAGATTCAAACTGATTCACGAAACCACCCCGAGAAGCGAAGCTGGAAGCAGGACGTCTGAAGTCACTGTCTATATGGTGCACCATCAGGAGGGTTTCCGGATTCCCTATTCTCTCACAATCATTGACACTCCAGGATTTGGAGGCAGAAGAGACGCAGAGCAAGACAAACTGGTTGAGGAGCAGCTCCGAGAATTTTTCTCCGCCCCAGGGGGCATTGACCATGTTAATGCCACTTGCTTGGTGGCCCAGGCCTTCCTTGCCCATTCAGTTCATGCCCAGAAATGCATCTTTGATTCCATGCACTCCCTGTTGGGAAAAGACGTGAAGGATAACGTCCAGCTCCTGATCACCTTTGCTGATGGGGGAACCCCACCTGTCCTGGAGGCCCTCAAGGAGGCTGACCTGCCTTGTGATCGGGACAAGTCGGGAACCCCTCTGCACTTCAGATTCAACCATTCAACCCTTTTTAGTCATGGAGAAACTGGAGGAAGCCATCATGCCGTTGCTGAAATATACTGGAAAATGAGCGCCGAGAGCATGAAGAATTTCTTTGACTCGCTAATGTTGCTGGAAGCCAAAAGGTTAACCTTGACTATGGAAGTCCTCAAGAAACGTCAGGAGCTGGAAGCTGCTCTCAGAAGACCTCCCCCTCCCAAGATTGAGCAAGTGCACCCAAATAGTTTCCAGATCGGTATTGATCCAGTCGCCATTGGGAAGCCTTCAGTCTCCAGGTACCAGGTGGAATATCGGATTGCAGGGCAGAATTGGAAGAGTCTCCATACTGAAGGCCCTAAAGATCAATTCACTTTGCAAGATGTGCACCTAAATCTTCAGTTCCAATTCCGATGTGCAGCTGTGACTGAATTTGGGCTCGGTCAATGGAGCAAGGAGATCACTTGCATCTATCCTAGGGGGAGGCCTGCAGAGGTAACTTGACACCTTCTTTGGAGGAAGAGCGGGGGAGGAGGAGAACAAGGAGGCAGTAGAATAGGCTGATACCAGTTTTGGGTGCTCCATCACTGGAGATTTTGAAGATTTTTCGCATTTGCAGCAAAGAAACTCCAGGGAAATTCTTTTACCAAGAGTTTAAGTTTCCTGATAGATCCATATAGGCCAGTGGTTCTCAACCTGTAGGTCGGGACCCCATTTGGGGTCGAACGACCATTTCACAGGGGTCGCCAAACAATACAGTCCGCCATTTCCCCCCCTTTTCCTTAGCTATGCTACTCCCTTTTATTCTATTGGCTTTTGAAAGCCAATAGAATAGACTCTCTTGAATAGAGTCTAATTCTATTGGCTTTCCAAAGCCAATAGGAATTGTCCAGGCTGTCTCTGCACTGCTGAGCCCGCCAAAATTCCCATTCTGCAAATGGTGCTGCACCAGTTGAGTAATCCTCAACTTACGACCGGTTGAGTAGTCCTCGACCTACAGCCGGTTGGGGGTCGCGGCATTAAAAAGGTTGAGAACCACTGATATAGGCACAGTAGAAGCAAAGCTAGTTTTCAGGTTTTGCCATTAAAAACAGCACAGCAATAATCCCCCCTTTCCTCCCCGGGCCACCCATTGTCCGTTGTCCACCAATCCAGTTCAATCATTGTTTTGGGAAACACCTTGAGGTGCTGGAAACTTTCTCAGGCCACAACCCGTGCACCTACATTCCTCATTCCCCTCCCAGCCACCCATCAATTCCAATCATTCCCTTCCGCCCTCCCTAGTTTTTGTTGTCTGGTGGTGAGTAAGGTTTGCAAAGCGGGTCAGCCATGACGCACGAGGCCACGGGAGCCGAGTAGGAGAGACTAGTCTCTGACCTGATGGAGACAGTGCCGGTGGCCGAGGGCCGTTTTGCAGAATGGAGGGAGCGACTACAAGCGTGAGGTCCATCCTGTGGGATGTCACAGACAGGGCTGAGTGGGAAGACCACTCGGGGAACCTGCTGGAGGGGGGGCAGATCTGATCCAAGTCAGGTCCTTTTTTAATCCCCCTCCATTTCTTGCTTGACTTCTGGGTGAGGTGAGTTCTTAGCAACCTGAGCAATGCAGCCTCACCTTTGGCTGATTCTGTTTTGCTTTTCACGCAGAAATCTCAGGTTATCTGCTGTGCGGCTGGTGTGCGTATGACTGTAAGCATCCAAGGTAAAGTCTTGGGTCCTGGGGTTCAGGTGGGGTGGAAGCTACTGTTCTGGGTGGGGGGGAACAAGCTATGACGGTCGTACACTGCTGACCAGTCCCCTTCTTCTCTCTTCTCCCCTTTGGGTTGTAGGGTCTGAACAGAGGATCGTCCTTGTGGGCAAAAGCGCAAATGGGAAAAGTGCAACGGGAAACACAATTCTGGGAAGCAACGTCTTTAAAAGTTCCATGTCACCTAGATCAGTAACAACAGCATGTCAAAAGGAGGACACACAGCTAAACAGCAGGAAGGTTGTGGTTGTTGATACGCCTGGCTTTTTCGATCCCAGTCTTCCACCCAACTACGTTGTTGCAGAAGTGAGGAAGTGCGTGAAGTTTTGCTCCCCGGGTCCCCACGTCATTCTGCATGTGATGCGTCCTAGTCGTTTCACTCAGGAGGAGGAGCAGGTGCCTCAGCTGATCAAAGAGATTTTTGGCCTTAAAGCCAAAAATTACATCATCCTTTTGTTCACGCGCAAAGAGGATCTGGAAGGTACCTCTATCGAAAATTTCATAGCTGTATGTGATAAAAAACTGCAGCAATATGCTGCTGAATGTGGGAACCGGTTCCTGGCTTTCAACAACAAGGCCGAAGGGGCGGAACGAGAGGCTCAGGTGGCCGAACTGATGACCATGATTGATCGTCTGGTAGAAACGAACAAAGATGCTCCTTATTACACGGAAGAGATGATGAGCTTCAACGAAAGACACAACTGGTTTTTCCCCCTTTCCAACAGAGGCCAGAAAGTCTCTTTAACTGAGCCTCGACTCCCAAGGTAGCAACTCTACCAAAGGCCACAGCCCTTCCGTTCTGTGTTCTAATCCAGCCCTTGCCATGTGACCTCTGAAGAACCCAAGCCAGAGATTCGTGGCTGAGTTCCACTCAGCCGATTCCTTCTCTTGAGAATCCACTTCCTCCCCTTGGATGACAGGACTTTCTTCAAGGGCATGAGAAATCCTGCCCACCCGTCCCAGGATCAGTAGGTCCCACAGCCGAATTCTCTCCCATCCTGGACCCGTGTCCCTTAGGGAGGACCAGGTCTTTGGGGCTTCCCACCTGTCTGTCCTTCGAGGTAGACCAGGCCGGGAAGCCAACAACACAAGAAATGTTAGAGCTCAACTTTACAGGGAGAGATTATAGCAGGAGAATCTGGAGAGCATCTCCCCTTCGCTCCTTCTGGCACCAAAGAGCATCAAGCCAGGGCAGCCTTGAGCTTCTTTCTCACCCCTTCCCGTTATCCTGGAGCGGATTCGTTTTTTCCTGACAGCTGCCACATATTTTCTGCAAGGCTGAGTCTGTACTCCTGTACATCAGGGGTCTCCAAATCATGGGCTGTGGACTGATACCGATCTATGGCCCACCAGGAACTGGGCTGCGCAAGTGGCCAAAGTCCCATTCCTGCATGGGTGGGATCCAGACAGCATGTGAAACCAGGGCCCCCTGCTCCATGGAAAAACCGCCTTCCACGGAACTGGTCCCTGGTGCCCAAAAGGTTGGGGGGCGCTGCTCTACACCACCTTCCAGAGGCAACACCTGGACTCACTAGGACGGTCATGACTGTTTCAATCAGAGACCTTCTTATTAAATCTCTTTCCTTACAAAAGTTTGTGTGTGTGTGTGTGTGTGGCAGGGGGACTAATGAACCTCAGCCTAACCAGCTCTGTCTGCAATGTGATCCAAAGGCAGAGGAGAACGGGGATGTTGTCCAATCGTCCTGGAGAGAGGGGGACATGGAATTCGTGTCAGATTATACTCGAGGGATGGAGCAGAACGCAGGGTATCCCCCGTAGCTTTTCACACTGGCTCCAGGAAGGGGGTCTGAGGAAATCAGGCTCCTGCTGGATCCTTCCCATCTCTTAGTGTCTGTCAGCTCCACTCCAGATGCTTCTCTTCGCCGACTTGCTTCTGGTCTCCTGGTCAAGCAAGAGGAAGAAGGACACATGCCCAGCAGCCAAATTTGCAGCAGGACGTTCGGATTTGTCAACCTCTTCTCCAAAGCCCCTGAAGGACGGACAAGAAGCAACGGATGGAAACTAACCAAAGAGAGAAGCAACCTGGAACTAAGGAGAAACTTCCTGACAGTGAGAACAATTAATCAGTGGAACGACCTGCCTCCAGAAGCTGTTAGATGGATAGATGGATGGAAGAATATATGATGGAAGGGAGGGAGGAAGGAAGAAAGATGTGGTGAGGGAGGGATGGAAGAAAGGAAGGAGACGGGAGGAAGTATGGGGGATGGATAGATGTAAGAAGGGAATGAGATATATGATGGGAGGAAGGAAGGAGAGGGAGGGACGGAGGGAGGGAGATAAATGGGGGAGGGGGGAGGGAAGAAGGGAGATATATGGGGAAGGAAGGAGGGATGGGGAGGGAGGGATGGGGCATGCTGGGAGTTGAAGTCTATCCATTTTCAAGTTCCCAAGGATGAGAAACAGCCAGAGGGAGGGAGGGAGGGAGAGAGATCAGAGCTTCTCAACATACTGGCTGGGGCATGCTGGGAGTTGAAGTCCACC